GACTCTGTGCCGGTGCTGGTCTCTTTGATTTTTTTTACTCCCGGTTACACAGAACAAACTTGAAACAGCTTATTTTCATACTTTGATACTGCCAAAAAAGGTCCCGTAGATATAACCGCTCAACCCGAGCTATGAGTCATTTTACTGCTCACCTTTTGACGTTGTTCTCTGCTCTGACACTGGTGGTGAGACTTATCTAGGCCTTAAATAAGGCTGCTGTCTCTGGTGTAGGCGAATCATCTTCAAATACAATGCCATGTATAATATCAGAGCATTTTTGTCTGCATGTTTTTGCCACATGGACGCGCGGTCAATGCAGACTTGATCCTTGCAATGGGTATCGATTGGCGTTTTGAGCATCTTAACACCTGTTTTATTGCCAGAAAGGGTACAACACCGATTCTTATTTTTCATACTTGAAACGGCTCTGTGCCCGGTGGCCCCAGACCTCAAAGTGCAAACGCAACCACCGCCGTAGCCCTGAGAGCTCAGCAGATCTTTATCCGCACGTTGGGTGGTGGTCGTGGTGCTTCCTGCCAGCCGGCGCGACTTATCAGGCCCCATGCACACTGCGCCAGAGGAAACCCAGAGGCCGTGAGCACAGTTTCCACAACCCAAAGGAGGACGACTGCCTGCCCGTTCATCTGAAGCCAGAACCAGGAACTTGTTGGGTTGATCTCGTGATCGTATACAAGGCATTCTCGACGGGCTGTCACCAAACCACCCGGCTGGGGTCACAACCCTTGCGAAACATGGACGTTCCATCTCAAGACAGTGTCCACATGATAAATATTGTATGAATCAAAACGTAGTGAAGTGCGTAACAATTGTGCCCGTAAAAAAAACGTCTCGGAGCGCAGGTTTTCTTTTGCTTACGCCATCCCAAATCCCGAAATTTCGCGGACTTATTCTTCTGTTGTGCCACAGCGAGCAATCTCACCAGGGCTGAGGCTAACCGCGCTAGGACGCCGCACGCCTCCATTAACTCGGGTCGGCTACGTGCGGTTGCGAAAGAAGTTCAACATACGGGGTGGGCAGCAGAGGGCAGCAGATGAGCAACGTCCATTGCCTAGCTGTTTGTCTTCCTTCATACGCCTGTCTCTCAACACATCCCATCAGCCTCACGGCCTCCTGGCAGTGCATGATCTCTGCATATGTACAGGGTGCTTAAAAAGAGGTAAACACTTCCGAGAATTTGCAACAATACCAGAAGAAATGTGCCTCCGGGCTCTGGAGACCACTTGTGAGAAGATTCCAAGGATGTGTTGACAATGATGGCGAACAAGTGGAGACTTTTTGACTTGTTGAAGCTATTAACATTACATTTGTAATCATGTTACAGTGTGTTATCCGTTATTTTTCCATTAAAAGCGATAGTCCAATTTCAGTATTCTTAGTTCTTTCGGTAAAGTCACGTTGAAGGGAAAACAACAAAATAATAAAATATATAAAACAATAAAAATTCTCACGTTTCGACCATAACACAAACGGTCGTCTTCAGGTGTGTCGGTTTGCATAAATTTATTTATTTTTAAACGGTGTATTTATTTATTTATAAAAAAACGTTAGCGCCACGCGCAGCGATTTCGCAGTTTATTTAGACGGACTAGTCCATCTATGTTCTGAAAAGAGGAGGGGGGAGACGAATTTTTTTTTTAATGTATGCTGTCTGAAAGCCACTGTAAGCGTGAACAATCAATTAAGACCTGAAATGGTTTATCAAATCTTTCCAATGATTGCTAAGCCAGAATCCATCTTCTCGGTTGAAATTGTCTCTGTGCTTGTATATAAATTTATGCAAACCGACACACCTGAAGACGACCGTTTGTGTTATGGTCGAAACGTCGTGAGAATTTTTATTGTTTTATATATATTTTATTCTTTTGTTGTTTTCCCTTCAACGTGACTTTACCGAAAGAACTAAGAATATGAATTACTGCAGTCACGAAAGCTTTAAATCAAAATCCAATTTCAGTGTTAACGTTTTTTAAGCACCCTGTATAAGTTCAACATATTTACTTACTCTTTGGTTCTATTCGGTAAAGTCACGTAGGTAAAAAATAAAACAAAAATAACGACGTTTCGGCCACAACACAAGTGGCCTTCATCAGGTGAAGGGACCGTACTGTCACGAGGACAGCACTTGTGTTGTGGCCGAAACGTCGTAATTTTTGTTGTTTTATTTTTTACCTACGTGACTTTACCGAATACAACCAAAGAGTATGGATCCTTGCAGTCACGAAAGCTTCAAATCTAGAATATTTACTTACATACGTGTACATCTGTATGTATAGTTCTCTTTAAGATACAGCAAGTCCTGGTTTAACGCGGGGGTTGCGTTCCTGCAAATTGCACAACGGGCAATGAAGGTGGGAGTGCCGTACACTGCAGATGCATACCATCACACCCATCCATTACCTCTAATGTATGTGTAATGGATTCACTTGAGGCGCACACTTAAACTTGGAGGCAACACTTTATTAAACAACGCAACAGACAACTCAAACAACTATATAAGGTGGTGACCACCGTTCCTAATTTAACTAACACTTGGAGGGACCAGGACAGGTTAACAGGCTGCCTGCTCCTCGAGCGGAGGTCAGAGACTTGATGACCGTAGATTGCATCTTCACTCCCAGAGTTAAACAGCCCGCGCTCTCTCGCACGATGAGGCTTATCACGGCTGTGGCCGGCTCCGCCCTCGGCCACGCCTTCTTCGGGAAGGTCCAGGTCCCTTACCACGTGACCACAGCGCCCCCATTTGGGTTCCCCGGCCCCCCTTCGTCCGGTCACGTGCCATATCGGGTTCATGCAGAGAGTGTCACGGCCTGACGCGACCTCAGTGACGCCGTGGCGCTCTCCACCTGCAGTAACCGTCATTACCTGCTACTGTCTCAGCACAGTAGTGACATCATTTATGTCTCTACATACGTCACTTCTACGAAAAGACAAAGATCCCCCGTACAGCACGGCACGTGAGGGGGTGGGTGGCCAAAAACATGACCGGCCGCCTTTGCCTCCCCAGTGGCGATTTTGACACATCGCACCAGATACTCATTTGAGGCTGAGTCGACCTAGGGGAGGCCCAATACCGGTTCAGATAATTGTCACTGGTGTTGGCCATGAGCGGGAATTGAACTCGGGACACTAGGTTCATAGCGCAGCGCTACTAAAATACAAGATAAAGATCCCCCATATAACCTTAACAGAATGTAGGGGCAAGTGCTGTTAGCGAGCACTTATGAAGGCCGGAACGGTACCTGAGAGGGTGGGTGGCCAGCACCACGCCCGACCGCCTTTGTCTCTCCCAGTGGCGATGTTTATTTGCTGCACCAGGTACTCACTTGAGGCTGAGTCGACCTAGGGGAGGCCCGGGACCGGTTCAGATAATCGTCACCGATGTTGGCCGTGAGCGGGAATCGAACCCGTGCCGCCGGGTTCATAGCTCAGCACGCTAACCACTACACTACCGCTCCCCACTACTAAAATACACGCACATACATACAAACACACCCACGCAACTGCCTACATGCATGCATTGCCTCAAGTGACATTATTTTGTGCCACCATTGCAACATGGTGCATGTGCTTACATTTTACAAAGTAGGAAAATGCCCGCCTACATAGGATGAAGTGACATTACGTGACAAGATCAGCGCCAGGCGTCATGCACGATTTTCCAATTACTGCACGAAAGTGCTAATCGTCATATTCAGCAAATAATTTCCTCCGTGTGAACGTAGGGAGAGGACGCACTCGCCATTGCAACAAAGGCCCCCTTCATTTGCAAGGTTCACTTAAAAAAAATCGGAGGTTGCAAAGTGTGGTTCACGTGTGGTTTGTTCATTCAGCTTCACTCACTTCTGGTTGACAATTCCCAGGACGTGCATTTAGTAAAGGCTCAGTTATGAATGAGATGTGTTTTCTCTGTTGACAGTGCAGTTGACTGGTGTATGTGTTTATTTTTAAATTAGTTCATAAAGCCTGTCTTCGCCAGGCAAAAGTTTAAAATAAATATAATAATTAAATTGATGATTTTTTTTACAATATTTATCTACAGACACTGACAACGACTCCAAACATTTGTATTTTTTCGCAAAAAACACAAAAAATGTTGACTTGATTCAACATCTTCTATTTAAAAACGTAACCATCGTAAACCACGTGATTTAAAGATTCCGTTCTTTTTTTTATTAGAAAGAACAAAAATTTGAGAATAGGTTTCCCCTTTATTCTGGCAACAAAACCCCTTTTGGCGTCCTCTGGTCGAACACCGTTTTGAGACGAGGCTAAAAAAAAAGCTGTCTCTGGTGTGGACCAATCAGTGTCAAAGACAATGCATATGTTATCAGAATATGTTTTTGGTTTGCATTCTGACCCACAAGTATTGTGGTTAATGCAGATATGATTCCCTGTAAAAGGTTTCAGTTTGGTGTTTTAACATCTTAACACAGCTGTTTTGTTACCAGAAAAAAGGGGAAAACATCCAGCCTCATCAGGCAGCTGCCAGAAATCGGAAAATGTCCTCCATAAAACTTTGCGAATTGGCTGTGCCAGGTGGAGGAGGGTTTTAACGAGACATTTTTCTCACGCGATCTGACTTAAACATCAACGTGGAATCATAATATGGGTCGCGAGAGAGAGAGACGGCAAGGGAAAGATAAGTGAGATGACACTACGTGCACAAAGATCCTACGAATCCGGAGAGGAATCCCGAATTTGATTCCCGCTCGTGGCCAACATCAGCGACGAATATCCAAAGCGGTCCCTGGGCCTCCCCGAGGTCGACTCGGCCTTAAAGAGTACTTAATGCGATGTGTAAACATTTCCACTGTGGAGACAAAGGCGGCCGGGAGTGGGTTTAAACGCACCACTCACCCCCAAGTCACCCGAGTGCACCGTGCCGGCCTCCTCCTTGGGTGCTCGCAAAACAGCCGCCCCCCACCCTTCCCCCACCAAATATATTACCCGGGATGGAGCTTTTGCGTTTGTGTCCCCAGGCGTGCGAATGAAGCCCCGCTCGTGCGCAGCTGGGTCCCGTACCTGGGCTCGGCTCTGCGCTACGGAGCCCAGCCGCTGGCGTTCCTGCGCGAGCAGCAGGCGCGGTACGGCGAGGTGTTCACGTGCCTCATCGCGGGCTCCTACACCACCTTTATCTGCGACCCCTTCTCCTACGGCGCCCTCCTGCGCAACGATCGCGCCTTGGACTTCGAGAAGTTTGGCCAAAAAATCGCCAGGACTGTGAGCGCACTTTACACCGCACGTCCGTGTGTCTGTATGTTGTGTGCGGGGAGGGGTAGTGTAACAGTTAGTACGTTGCATTACGAACCGGGCTTCCCCCAGTTCGATTACCGCTCACGGCCAACACCTCCATACCACACAACTCCACACACCTCTTGTGTACCACACACAACACCACACACCGCCTGTGTACCACACACAACACCACACACCTCCTGTGTACAACACACAACTCCACACACCACCTGTGTACCAACAACAACAACCTCCATTCGCCACTAAGTGGCGGTGACGTCACCACGACACTTGTGCCAGGCCATGTGCACCTTGAGGCCACGTGAAGTGTTGAACGCCCGCTGGCAGGATGTCACGGGGCAGACCCAAGTGCCACGGGTCGACTGACTGAGATGACTGGCTGGTGCACCACCTGTGCCCCCTACTGTGCCAACCTGCTGTGCTTTAGCCACCCGGCGCTCCGCTCGTTGTTGTGAGCGTCGCTCCTCCGCTCTCCGTTGTTGTTGGAGGGCGACTACCTCCAACTGTCCAGTAGCGTCCTTCACGAGCCTCCTCCACAGAGGCCGATCTTGACACCGCTGGTACCAGTCATCGGCAGGTCCACTCAGCTCCACGTCCTCCTGTACCACATCACTCCATCTCTTCTTTAGCCCGTGCCGCGCCCGTTTAGCCCCCTCCATCCGGCCGAACAAAAGCTGTTTCGGCATGCAGTGGCTGGGCATGCGGGCTACATGACCCAGCCAACGCAGCCTTGCCTGCCGGACCTCACCGATGGGACCTTGCCCAGATCTTTCAAGGATTTGTGAGCTCCTCACACAATCCAGCCTGGTTAAACCCAGGATGGATCGTAGGCAGGATAGCCTAAATGTTTCTAACCGGCGAAGATGTTGCGTTAGGGGGGTCCACGTTTCGCAAGCGTAGAAAAGGGAGAGAATGACCGTGGCTGAGAAGACCTGAAGCTTATTGCGGAGGGACAGACCAGGTAGCTTCCACACAGCGTTACGCAACCGATGAAAAGATATTGCCGCTCGACTGATTCGGAGTGAGACCTCTGCTGTTAAACTGGAGCCAGTCATAAGCACACTACCCAGGTATGGGAAACTCTCCACTCTCTCCACAACTGCCCCATCACCAATTGGAAGTTGTGGGGGTGGAGTGTCCGATGGTACAAAATACCCAGGCAGGTGCTTAGTTTTGGTGGGGCTGATGGTAAGGCCCCATCTCTTAGTGGCACGCTCCAGTCTCAGCAGTAGCGTCTCCAACTCCTCCTCTGAATGAGCAGCTATTACCAAATCATTGGCATACAAAACGTGGTTGAGCAATAGGGAGCCATCTCTTGACCGCGCCTGGGCATCGATCAGCCTCCCATTATATCTTTACCAAATGGAGATTCCCCCGGTACAGTTATTGAAGGCTTCACGAACTACGTGGTCAAAATAGATGTTAAATAATGTGGGAGCCAGAGTACATCCCTGTCGCACCCCAAGGTGTACAGGGAATGGCTCTGACTCCAGGCCACGTAGTTTTACCCGGGCCCGCTCACCATCATGAAGGTCCTTAATGATCGTGAGCAGAGGGTCAGGGACTCCAAAAGCACGAAGAACAACCCAGAGCCCAGGCCTACTGATGATATCATAGGCCTTGACCAGGTCAATAAAGCAGAGATGCAGGTCTTGCTGGAATTCCCTACACCTCTGCTGTAGCAGACGGACAGAAAATATGGCATCTGTGCAGGACCGCCCTTTCCTGAAACCGCATTGGGGCTCCGCAAGCCTCTCCTCAGCGTGCCTGGTAAGGCGATGTTGAATAATCCTTGCCAGGACCTTTCCCGGCACACTGAGGAGTGAGATGCCCCTGTAGTTCTTACAGTCTGTGCGGTTCCCCTTCTTAAAATGGGGGACCACCAGGGCATCCTTCCAATCCTGCGGAACCCGTCCAGTGGTCCAGACTGTTGATATGATGTCATATAGGGCAGTCTGTGCACAAACGCCACCCTCCCTCAGTATTTCGTTTGGGAGATCATCTTTGCCCGGTTCCTTTCCTGGTCTCAGACTCCGGATCGCCTTCAGTACTTCCTCAACAGATGGCACCTCAGCCAGCCACTCACAGGGGGTGACTTCTTCCAATATTTGAGGCACCGCAGCCTCAGCAGGGTCATCCCCACTTTGTGCCATGATGTTTTCCTGGCTGAGGGATTTCCCCTCCCCCAGGACCTCATAGAAATGCTCAACAAATCTGCAAACCTGTTCCTGGGGGTCGGAGATTGGATCACCGTTTTTTCCCCTAATGATGGTAATAGGTGTGGCGCTGCAGGTTACTTTTTCGATGGAGTTAAATAGAGATTTGTGATCGCGGGCCACTGAGGCAGACTCCATCTCCTCAGCAACCCGCGACCACCACCCATCCTTGCAGCGCCTCACGGCCCTCCGAACCTCCGAGCGAAGGCTGCGGTAAGCCTCATTCTCTCTCTCTGACGTGGGATTCTGTAGCCGATGACAGTGGGCCTGTCGCTTTTTCTCAACTATCCTGAACACCTCCTCTGTCAGCCAGGGTCTCTGGGGAGGTCTGGACCGCGTACCCAAAGCAGCCATTGAAGCTGCATGAGTCACAGTCCTAAACCTCGCCCATTTACCCTCGACATCAGGAGTGGGGGACGATGCCAACCCCAGCCGCAAGCGATGATGAAATTCTCGCTAGCAACTTTCATCAGATAACTGAGACCAGGCCACTTTAGGTTGGAATGGGGTCCTGGGTGTACACCCACCACCGGAGTGGAAGAATGGCAGGCGCATCTTACAGATGACTAGTCGATGGTCAGAGGGCAGATCAGCTCCACGGTAGGTCCTGGTGTCAAGGACATGGGCTCGCATTTGCTGGTCCGTCACTGTGTAGTCCGGCAGATGTTCTTGCTTGGACCCGGCATGCATCCATGATATTGTGTGGATGCGCCGATGCCGGAACAGCGTGTTGGTAATTACAAGCCCATGGACTGCACATAAATCTAGCAGCCTCCTACCGTTGTTATTGAGCTGATCTGGCCCATACCTTCCAATCACTCCAGACCAGGTGCCAGCATCATGACCAACTCTGGCATTGAAGTCACCCAACAAGATGACTCTATCCCGAGGGGCCACTTAAGCCAGCATCTGTGACAGGAGGTCATAGAAGGCATCTGACTCATCTTGCCTGCATTCCTCCACGGATGTTCCTCTTCGGTGGGGGCATAAGTAACCACGACCACCACTCCTCGCCTCCAGTTGATGGGAAGGCGAGCCCAAAGTAGCCTGGGGCTTACAGATTCCCACACCTCACCGCCACCCTCCCACGCCCCCTTCATTCTTTTGTTCAAAAGAAGAGCCACACCCTGTTGTTTGGCAGTCTGCTGCCCCGAGTAGAGGACTGTCCACCCCTCATGGTGGCAGGAGCCAGAACCGGTCTACTGGGCCTCCTGAATGTCACAGAGATCCAGGCGGTACCGGTCCAGCTCCCGACAGAGGAGTGGCAGCCTCTCCTCCGCAGTGAGCGTTCGAACATTCCACGTGGCCACACGAAGTGGCTTTTCGTTGTTTCTGGAGGAGCCCCGAGGGTAGAAATTCAATCTTCTGGCTCAGCCAATTAGGGTTTGGCCAGGAGACGTCATAGACGCCTGTCCCACCAGGGCCTCCGGAACAAGCTTATTAGTTAATTTTTTTATTCGTGGTTTCGTGGTAAAAATGTTGAAGGTGGAGGGGTTACCAGCCCCTCACACCCGTCCAGAGCCCCCGTTTAGCCACTGTGTACCACACGCAACTCCACACACCTCCTATGTACCACACACAACTCTACACACCGCCTGTGTACCACACACAACACCACACACCATCTGTGTACCACACACAACTCCACACACCTCCTGTGTACCACACACAATGCCACACACCGCCTGTGTACCACACACAACTCCAAACACCTCCTGTGTACTACACATAACTCCACACACCTCCTGTGTACCACACACAACTCCACACACCTCCTGTGTACTACACACAACTCCACACACCACCTGTGTACCACACACAACACCACACACCATCTGTGTACCACACACAACTCCACATAGCACCTGTGTACCACACACAACGCCACACACCGCCTGTGTACCACACACAACTCCAAACACCTCCTGTGTACTACACATAACTCCACACACCTCCTGTGTACCACTCACAACTCCACACACATCCTGTGTACCACACACAACACCACACACCACCTGTGTACCACACACAACTCCACACACATCCTGTGTACCACACACAACTCCACACACCACCTGTGTACCACACACAACTCCACACACATCCTGTGTACCACACACAACTCCACACACATCCGGTGTACCACACACAACTCCACACACCACCTGTGTACTACACATAACTCCACACACCTCCTGTGTACCACACACAACTCCACACACATCCTGTGTACCACACACAACACCACACACCACCTGTGTACCACACACAACTCCACACACATCCTGTGTACCACACACAACTCCACACACATCCTGTGTACCACACACAACTCCACACACATCCTGTGTACCACACACAACTCCACACACATCCTGTGTACCACACACAACTCCACACACATCCTGTGTACCACACACAACTCCACACACATCCTGTGTACCACACACAACTCCACACACCACCCGTGTACCACACACAACACCACACACCACCTGTGTACCACACACAACTCCACACACATCCTGTGTACCACACACAACTCCACACACCTCCTGTGTACTACACAACTCCACACACCATCTGTGTACCACACACAACTCCACACACATCCTGTGTACCACACACAACTCCACACACCTCCTGTGTACAACACACAACTCCACACACCATCTGTGTACCACACACAACTCCACACACATCCTGTGTACTACACACAACTCCACACACCACCTGTGTACCACACACAACCCCACACACCTCCTGTGTACCACACACAACACCACACACATCCTGCGTACTACACACAACTCCACACACCACCTGTGTACCACACACAACTCCACACACCACCTGTGTACCACACACAACTCCACACACATCCTGTGTACCACACACAACTCCAAACACCTCCTGTGTACTACACATAACTCCACACACCTCCTGTGTACCACACACAACTCCACACACATCCTGTGTACCACACACAACACCACACACCACCTGTGTACCACACACAACTGCAAACACATCCTGTGTACCACACACAACTCCACACACCACCTGTGTACCACACACAACTCCACACACATCCTGTGTACCACACACAACACCACACACCACCTGTGTACCACACACAACTCCACACACCACCTGTGTACTACACAACTCCACACACCACCTGTGTACGTTTTTTTTTATTTGTCGATGTGAGCCTTGCCCTCCGTTGTGCCGTGGCCTTGGCAAGTAGGTGTTCGGCGTCGTCGACTTCTTTGACCCTCGCTACAACGTCACGATAGAGGAGATCCACGACATATTCGCGAAGACTCTGACTGGGACCGAGCTGCATTCGCTCACCGAGAGTATGCTGGGAAACCTGCACGGCTACCTCGTTGAAGGTACATGTAGGGGCTTGGCGGAGTGCTGGTGGAGGTGCCTCGTGACGAGGCCGCCAATCTCTCAGATCTAGAGGACATTCTGTAGGGTGCCCATAAAGGCGTCATATTTGCAAAACAAAAAACACATGTTCGGTCCACTGCTGGATGAAGGCCTCCCCAAGCCGCCGCCGCCGTCTCTCACGACGTCACAATCCGTCTAGCGCCCGCACGCAAACCGATTCATCGCTCCAACTCGGCGTGCGTGTTTCTCCTCCTTTGGATGCCGTACCGTTGTTGGTCTCGACCGCTGGCCGTCGTCCCTTCCGGCCACGTGTCCTGCCGAAGCCCACGTAACGTTTATTAACGGTCGGTGCGATGTCTAAACGGAGCAGGCGTGTTCTCCAAACCCTTCCCGGTTTCAGCAGTCGCGGTCGGAATTCCAAGGGGGCACCGCTCCACGCCGCCCTGCGCACTTTTCCACTGTTGCTGGATGTTGTTCGTTCTCCTTCCTTGACGCTGTTCCCAACGCCCTTCGACGTCATTCGTTCTCCTTCCTTGACGCTGTCCTCAACGCCCTTCGACGTCATTCGTTCTCCTTCATTGACGCTGTTCCCAACGCCCTTCCACGTCATTCGTTCTCCTTCCTTGACGCTGTCCTCAAGTGCCCCGACGTCGTTCGTTCTCCTTCCCTGACGCTGTTCTCAACGCCCTTCAACGTGGTCCGTTCTCCTTCCCTGATGCTGTCCTCAACGTCCTCCGACGTCATTCGTTCTCCTTCCCTGACGCTGTTCTCAACCCCTCCGACGTCGTTCGTTCTCCTTCCCTGACGCTGTTCTCAACCCCTCCGACGTCGTTCGTTCTCCTTCCCTGACGCTGTTCTCAAGCCCTTCAACGTCGTCTGTTCTCCTTCCCTGACGCTGTCCTCAAGTGCCCCGAGTGTGTCGCAGTGTGATACGGCAAATCAGGCACTGCCTTCAAAATCCCCACAGTACACCAAGTGAAACTGCACCATTAGTATTTGTCATAATAAAGACAAGCCAATAGTAGTTCGATTTTAGCCATGTAACCCAAAGCTGTGGGCCATATAGTAAACCCATTGAGACACGTAGAGACCCATAGAGACTCACAGAGCTACATAGAGATACATGCAGTTAAAGCCAGAGTGCAATTGTGGCCATGCAACCCAAACTTTGGATCGTATAGAAAACCCATAGATACCCATAGAGATACGTAGATATATATTCAAAACAAGGCACAGTAGTGTGATTGTGGGGATCCAACCCGACCTATGGACCACGTAGTAAACCCACTGTGGCCTGCGCTCCATCAATGGAGGAGGATCCGCAAAACGACACGAACTCTCTCCAGAAGCCCTCTCATCGTGGCCAGCAGCAGACCTCGACACTGGCATCTCGCTCCTGAACCACATTGCTGCTACTGCTGCTGCTACTGCGAGAACCTCCGATTAGCCACGGTTGGCTACGCGCGGTGCGAAATAAGTTCAACATACACACACAATATAATATCTAATGAGTGTGAATATTTTAGTTAAATTATAATTGTACTGATGGCGTGTTCCACCCGGTCTCGCCTACCACTAGCAGCCCGTACCAGCGCTGACATTTGTCTCTACGCCGACCCCCAGGTCGTGCTGCGAGGGACGCTGGCGCTGGCTGTGCCGGGGGTGCTGGTGGCGACGGCTGGCAGGAGGAGGGTCTGAACGAGTTCTGCAGGCGCACCATGTTCCGAGCCGGCGTCGCGACCATTTTCGGCCAAAATATGTTCGACGCCGAGTCCTCACTCGCCGAGATGCTCAAGAGCTTCGACGACTTCGACCGAGCCTTCCCCCTCCTGGTGGCCGGCGTGCCGCTGTGGATGATGCCCGCGGCGAGGCGAGGGCGCGAGGCGCTGGAGACGGCGCTCGGGAAGGTGGCGCCCGGCACGATGGTGGAACCAGCGGCTCTCATCATGCAGAGGGCGAATCTGTTTGAGGGCTCGCCCTTGCTGGGGAAACTGGACAAGGCTCGCACACACTCCATCATGATGTGGGCCTCCCAAGCCAACTCTTTGCCGGCAATCTTCTGGACTCTCTTCTACTTGCTCCGGTAACATTTGGAATTGCTTTAATTTTCGAACGGATCATTTTCTTTCGTACAAATTTAATAATGAGACAGTAAAATCTCCTTCGCATATCCATCAAACCAGATTCTGATGATGAACCACTGCATTTCTAAACCGGTCTAGAGTTTTGCTTGTGTTGAGCTAACGCTGCTAAAATTCGGTACTCCCTGTAGGCCGTGTGGCTCATGGGATGTGTAAAAAAACAACGATGTGGATGTTTTTTTTGCATATTTATTTTCTTCTCGAGTACAGCATTTGAAAGGCAGCTGATTGAATATTTCCTCTGTGGAGATGCAATGGTGTCTGGGGTCGGGATGGGTACAGCAGGACACCTGTAACCCACGGTGACATGGGGGGTGCGGGGGCAGGGGGGGGGGACAACATGACAGATCCCGTGATCCCCCCTGACACGCCGCGATGGTCAGCTCCATAATAGGCGATTTCGTTTTAGCGCTGATACGGTATCCCGCGTATCACGGAAGGAGGGGGAGTATGGGGTATGTCGAATAGGGGTCGTGCCTCGTGAAGGGGGAACAGTCGCGATCTCCCAGTTGTTTTCCATCTTTGGTCGCTCCCGGTTCCCAGATGTCAGCTGTGGCAGTGGCCACACTGCAGTAAACCGTCTCGACTGGTGGACAAAACCAGGTGAGGGTAGCCAACGGGTCTGCAACCTTTGGTGAGACGAGGCCACGCCGACCCCTGCGTGCAAACACTTCTCCCGGTGGAGATCAATCTGCTCTTCCAAGGGTCATGTTGGCGACTAAAGCTAAGGAGAACCGCCGATGCAGAGAGGTCCACAAAGCAAGAATTCCCAACTCCTCCGTCAATGGCCTCAGATCGCGTGTCCCTCGTGCAACAGCTGGTTCTTTCGCGAACAGATTGGGTTCATCGACCATCTACGGACTCACGGCATTCAACCCCTAGGAAGGGAGTTCGCCTGGGGGGCTCTGTCAGCAGGAACCCCTCGGACAGGAGCTCTATTTGTGGGCCTTGCTGGGATGAGCCGCTAGGAAGTTAGTTCGCTTTGAGGTGCTTTGCCAGGAGGGACCATCGGGGTCGGCGCTGGAGCCTCAGGGAGGGCCAATGCTGCTCCGCGCTGATCTGTGTGCGTGTGCGCGTGTGTGTGGCCAGTGTCATAGCGTAGCGGTTAGCGCTGCGCTGCGCTACGAACCCAGAGACTCGAGTTCAATTCCCACTCACGGCCAACATCAGTGATGATTATCTGAACCCGTCCTGGGCCTCCCCGAGGTCAACTCAGCCTCAAATAAGTACCTGGTGCGATGTGGAAACATCGCAACCGGGGAAACAAAGGCGGCCGGGCGTGGTGCTAGTAATCCACCCCCTCGTGTGCTCGCTAACAGCAGTTGCCCCAACAGTCTGTTAAGGCTACACGGGGGATCTTTGCCTTGGTGTGGTCAGCGTTGTGCGTGTGGTTGTGTCCGCGTGTCGCGCAGGAGTGCGCCCGCGCTGAAGGCCGTGCGCGCTCAGCTAAAGGAGCTGCTGGGCCACGAGGCTCGGGAGCACGGCAAGGCCTTCGTCATCACGAGGGAACAGCTCAACAAGATGACCGTCCTCCGTGAGTGGTCTCCGCATCAGGGTAGCCTGCCGGATTCGAACCGTGGTGTTTTATGTAAAATAACTTGCCATGGAATATCACATTTATTTATTTGTCACATCTTGGGCCTTACCTGAACCTTTGCATCGACCAACACGAACATAGAGCCAGCGTGCGCGCACAGGGCGAGGGTGAGCGCGGTTACCCTGCAAGCTGCACAGTGCACGCATGGGTCATCAGGAGTTGCAGGTAATCAGGAGTTGATTCTGCAGAGGCCAGCTCTGTGTCATACCTCGTCGTCCCTCTCCCTCTCGACAGACAGCGTAGTCAACGAAGCCCTGCGCCTCTCCAGCGCCTCCATGATCGTCCGCCAGGCCAAGGAGGACGTGACGCTGGAACTGGACTCGGGGCGCAGTGTGCTCGTGCGCAAGGGTGACATGGTGGCGCTCTACCCAAAGATGATGCACTTTGACCCGAGCATCTACCCGGACCCCATGGTGAGCCTCCATTCCTCCACACTTATCCTATCCCATCAGCGTGCAGCATCCGTTTACAAACTGGTCTACTGCCCATCTGGCCGTCATGTGTAAACCCCGCGGCGATTACGGTTAGATAACTTACTTGCTTTGTCAACCCACTGCTGTGTGAAGGTCATGGGATTTATTTAATCGTACTTCACCACGTCGGCCGGTGAGGGATGGTGAAGGGAATGCGAGTGGAGGGGCCCAAGAATATAATGTCACTCGCCACTCACGGTTGAAAATAAAACTCAGACTGCCGGGATCATAGAGCAGTGTACGAAGCACTGCCACGTTTTTTAAGTCGAAAAAGCATCGACGGCTGTGATGCGATGGGACACATCACGCCCAGTCTATCCGCCCCAGCAATGATGTGGTGCTGCCATGGTCCATAATAGCTTTGGAGAGTTTATGCACCTAAATGTATCGTACGAATAATAATGTCTAAAAGGTCTGAATTTTGGCCACCCCACCCATGCACCCTAGGAGTTCAAGTTTGACCGTTTCCTGGGTGAGAACCTCAAGGAGAAGACTACGTTCACCCAGAACAGTCGCCGGCTCTCCCTATACCTCATGCCGTTCGGCATGGGGAAGAGCTTGTGTCCCGGACGGTTTTTCGCCATAAACGAGATGAAGCTGGTGGTCACCATGTTGCTGTGGAGCTACGACCTAGAGCTCTTGGACCCCGGGGCCGCATCTCCTCCCTTAAACAACGCTCGCGCCGGCTTGGGCATCTTGCCCCCCATGCATGACGTCAAGTTCCGCTACAGGTTCAAGGGCCAAGTCTTCCCCAGTCTGTAAAGCCTGCGGCCAGGGTAAAGAAAATCCCCCTATCGTGTTGTCGCTTAGTCCAGGCAGAGCTAGGGTTGTGGTAAAAGAGCGAATGTCGAAGGAGTTGGCCAAATATCCTAGAATAGGACCGCGAGATTGGGCAATTGCTGGCAATCTGCACGCATTACAAATCCTAATGCATTTTCGGAAGCAATTTGCATGAATCATTCAATGCAAAAATACATTCGATCATTAACATAATATATTTAAACAAAAGTATTAAACAAGAACCCAATACAGAGCACGAGCAACGTTGAAGGGGGAGTACAGACGCCTTCGTGAACGACAAACCTGGGGCCACGTGACCTCGGAGTAGGGACCGGAACGTTGGCTGGGCTCACTGCCCTACTCACATAGGGGCAACGATCGGCATTTTATGGGTGGGGAAGGTGAGGGAAGCGGGGGGAGAGAATGTACCCAAACAGAACCCGAAAAAGAAAACATACGCGCCGAGTGGGTTTGTCATTATTGTTAATCCCCGGGAGCAGCAGCCACTTCATGCCTCTCCAAGGGGTAATATTTAAGGAGTCTCTCCCCCCCCCCCCCCGATCCCCGACCACATGCGCATTCCCGCAGGGTTTAGATGTGTTTTTTTACATTTAAACCATTTTTCGTATTTGACCAGGGAAGGTCAACTGAACTATGTAGCTCTTTTTCAGAAGTGACCTGGCTATCACAGATGATAGCCCAATGAAGTGGTTCATCATGTGGAAATGAATAGCAGCCAAATACTCTAAATGCGTGATGTTGATTCTAAATGTGTTAGGAAAACCCGGAGGATCCGGAGAAAAATCCACATGAACACGGGGAGAGAGGACACGCAAACTCCAAATATATATAGGTGTATATACACTTCACGTGGCCTCAAAGTGCACCTAGACTGGCACAAGCGCCGGGGTTGATGTCACTGCCATTTAGTGAACGATGGTTGTTATATTTTGTGCGAATGAATGCGTCAAGTGTGGAAATTGACGTCTCAAATCTGAATCTGTTCTGCGATTGAGCTGCAAACGTCAGCGTGCGATTTCGAATAAACCGCTTGAATAAATCAACTTGAGTGCGTTTGTCTGTCTCCCCGTGTCTCTCCCCTGTCGGTGTTTCCCCCTGTTTGTTCTCCCTATCTCCTCCTGTTTGGGTCTCCCCATCTCCCCCTGTCTCCCCGTATCTCTCCCCTGTCTCCACCTGTGTGGGTCTCCCTTGTCCCCCGTGTCTGTCCCCTATGTGGATCTCCCTATCTCCCCGTGTCTCTTCCCCCGTCTCCTCTGTCTCCACGTGTCTCTCCCTCTGTCTGGGTCTCCCTGTCTCTCCCTGCATCTTCCTCTGTGTCTCTCCCCCTGTCTCCCCTCTGTCTCTCTGCCCCTGTCTCCCCTCTGTGTATCTCGCCCCCTGTTTCCTGTCTCTCTCCCTGTGTGTATCTCTCCCATGTATCCCCTGTGTTTCTCCCTATCTCCCCCTCTGTATCTCTCCCCTGTCTCCCCTCTGTCTCTCCCACCGTCTCCCCTCTGTGTCTCTCCCCCTATCTCTCCCTGTCTCCCCTCTGTATCCTTCCCCTTGTCTCTCCTCTGTCTCCCCTCTTTGTCTCTCTCCCTGTCTCCCCTCTGTCTCCCCCGTGTTTCTCCCCGCTGTATTTCTCCCCCTGTCTCCCAACTGTCTCCACCCCGTGCATCCCAGTCTCCCCTCTGTATGTCTCCCCCTGTCCCCCTGTCTCCCCGGCTCCCCTCTGTCTATCCCCCTGTCTCCCCTCTGTGTGTCTCCCCCTCTGTATCTCTCCCCCTGTATGTATCCCAGTCTCCCCTGTGTCTCTTCTGTGTGTCTCTGCCTGTTTCCCAGTCTCTTCTGTGTCTCCCCCTGGCTCCCAGTCTCTCCTCTCTGTTTCCCCCTGTCTCCCAGTCTCTCCTCTCTGTGTCTCTTCCTGTCTCCCAGTCTCCCCTGTGTCTCCCCCTGTATCCCAGTCTCTCCTCTGTGTGTCTCCCCCTGTCTCCAAGTCTCCCCTATCTGTGTCTCCCACTGTTTCCCAGTCTCTTTGTGTGTCTCCCCCTGTCTCCCAGTCTCCCCTCTCTGTCTCCCCCTGTCTCCCAGTCTCTCCTCTGTGTGTCTCCCCCTGTCTCCCAGTCTCCCCTCTCTGTCTCCCCCTGTCTCCTAGTCTTCCCCCTCTGTCTCCCCCTGTCTCTCCTCTGTGTCTCCCCTGTCTCCCCCCTCTGTCTCCCAGTCTCTTCTGTATCTCCCCCTGTCTCCCAGTCTCCCCTCTCTGAGTCTCCCCCTGTCTCTCTGTCTCCCAGTATCCCCTCTCTGTGTCTCCCCCTGTCTCTCTGTGTCTCGCCCTTGAGTCTCGCCCTGTCTCCCAGTCTCCCCCTGTTTCTCTGTGTCTCCCCCTGTCTCTCAGTCTCCCCTCTCTTTGTCTCCCCCTGTCTCTCTGTGTCTCGCCCTGTCTCCCAGTCTCCCCCTGTCTCTCTGTGTCTCCCCCTGTCTCCCAGCCTCCCCTCTGTGTCTCCCCCTGTCTCCCAGTCTCCCCTCTCTGAGTCTCCCCCTGTCTCCCAGTCTCCCCTCTGTGTCTCCCACTGTCTCCCAGTCTCCCCTCTCTGTGTCTCCCCCTGTCTCCCAGTCTCCCCTCTGTGTCTCCCCCTGTCTCTCTGTCTCGCCCTGTCTCCCAGTCTCCCCCTGTCTCTCTGTGTCTCGCCCTGTCTCCCAGTCTCCCCCTGTCTCTGTGTCTCCCCCTGTCTCCTGGTCTCCCCTCTGTGTCTCCCCCTGTCTCCCAGTCTCCCCTCTCTGAGTCTCCCCCTGTCTCCCAGTCTCCCCTCTCTGTATCTCCCCCTGTCTCCCAGTCTCCCCTCTCTTTGTCTCCCCCTGTCTCTCTGTGTCTCGCCCTGTCTCCCAGTCTCCCCCTGTCTCTCTGTGTCTCCCCCTGTCTCCCAGCCTCCCCTCTGTGTCTCCCCCTGTCTCCCAGTCTCCCCTCTCTGAGTCTCCCCCTGTCTCCCAGTCTCCCCTCTGTGTCTCCCACTGTCTCCCAGTCTCCCCTTTCTGTGTCTCCCCCTGTCTCCCAGTCTCCCCTCTGTGTCTCCCCCGGTCTCTCTGTGTCTCGCCCTGTCTCCCAGTCTCCCCCTGTCTCTCTGTGTCTCGCCCTGTCTCCCAGTCTCCCCCTGTCTCTGTGTCTCCCCCTGTCTCCCGGTCTACCCTCTGTGTCTCCCCCTGTCTCCCAGTCTCCCCTCTCTGAGTCTCCCCCTGTCTCCCAGTCTCCCCTCTCTGTATCTCCCCCTGTCTCCCAGTCTCCCCTCTCTGAGTCTCCCCCTGTCTCCCAGTCTCCCCTCTGTGTCTCCCCCTGTCTCCCAGTCTCCCCTCTGTCTCCCCCTGTCTCTCTGTGTCTCGCCCTGTCTTCCAGTCTCCCCCTGTCTCGCTGTGTCTCCCCCTGTCTCCCAGTCTCCCCTCTGTGTCTCCCCCTGTCTCCCATCTCTGTGTCTCCCCCTGTCCCCCAGTCTCCCATCTCTGTGTCTCCCCCTGTCTGTCTCCCCCTGTCTCTGTGTCTCTTCCTGTCTCCCCTCTCTGTGTCTCTCTCTGTCTCCCCCTGTCTCCCAGTCTCCCCTCTCTGTATCTCCCCCTGTCTCTGTCTCCCCCTGTCTCTGTGTCTCTTCCTGTCTCCCCTCTCTGAGTCTCCCCCTGTCTCTCTGTGTCTCCCCCTGTCTCCCAGTCTCCCCTCTCTGTGTCTCTCTGTGTCTCCCCCTGTCTCCCAGTCTCCCATCTCTGTGTCTCCCCCTGTCTCCCAGTCTCCCATCTCTGTGTCTCCCCCTGTCTCTGTCTCCCCCTGTCTCTGTGTCTCTTCCTGTCTCCCCTCTCTGTGTCTCTCTCTGTCTCCCCCTGTCTCCCAGTATCCCCTCTCTGTCTCCCCCTGTCTCTCTGTGTCTCGCCCTTGAGTCTCGCCCTGTCTCCCAGTCTCCCCCTGTCTCTCTGTGTCTCCCCCTGTCTCCCAGTCTCCCCTCTCTGTGTCTCCCCCTGTCTCTCTGTGTCTCGCCCTGTCTCCCAGTCTCCCCCTGTCTCTCTGTGTCTCGCCCTGTCTCCCAGTCCCCCCCTGTCTCTCTGTGTCTCCCCCTGTCTCCCGGTCTCCCCTCTGTGTCTCCCCCTGTCTCCAAGTCTCCCCTCTCTGAGTCTCCCCCTGTCTCCCAGTCTCCCCTCTCTGTATCTCCCCCTGTCTCCCAGTCTCCCCTCTCTGAGTCTCCCCCTGTCTCCCAGTCTCCCCTCTGTGTCTCCCCTTGTCTCCCAGTCTCCCCTCTCTGTGTCTCCCCCTGTCTCTCTGTGTCTCGCCCTGTCTCCCAGTCTCCCCCTGTCTCGCTGTGTCTCCCCCTGTCTCCCAGTCTCCCCTCTGTGTCTCCCCCTGTCTCCCAGTCTCCCCTCTTTGAGTCTCCCCTTGTCTCCCAGTCTCCCATCTGTGTCTTCCCCTGTCTCCCAGTCTCCCCTCTCTGTGTCTCCCCCTGTCTCCCAGTCTCCCCTCTGTGTCTCCCCCTGTCTCCCAGTATCCCCTCTCTGTCTCCCCCTGTCTCTCTGTGTCTCGACCTTGAGTCTCGCCCTGTCTCCCAGTCTCCCCCTGTCTCTCTGTGTCTCCCCCTGTCTCCCAGTCTCCCCTCTCTGTGTCTCCCCCTGTCTCTCTGTGTCTCGCCCTGTCTCCCAGTCTCCCCCTGTCTCTCTGTGTCTCGCCCTGTCTCCCAGTCCCCCCCTGTCTCTCTGTGTCTCCCCCTGTCTCCCAGTCTCCCCTCTGTGTCTCCCCCTGTCTCCAAGTCTCCCCTCTCTGAGTCTCCCCCTGTCTCCCAGTCTCCCCTCTCTGTATCTCCCCCTGTCTCCCAGTCTCCCCTCTCCGAGTCTCCCCCTGTCTCCCAGTCCCCCCTCTGTGTCTCCCCCTGTCTCCCAGTCTCCCCTCTCTGTGTCTCCCCCTGTCTCTCTGTGTCTCGCCCTGTCTCCCAGTCTCCCCCTGTCTCGCTGTGTCTCCCCCTGTCTCCCAGTCTCCCCTCTGTGTCTCCCCCTGTCTCCCAGTCTCCCCTCTCTGAGTCTCCCCTTGTCTCCCAGTCTCCCATCTGTGTCTTCCCCTGTCTCCCAGTCTCCCCTCTCTGTGTCTCCCCCTGTCTCCCAGTCTCCCCTCTGTGTCTCCCCCTGTCTCCCAGTCTCCCCTCTGTGTCTCCCCCTGTCTCCCAGTCTCCCAGTCTCCCCTCTGTGTCTCCCCCTGTCTCCCAGTCTCCCCTCTCTGTGTCTCCCCCTGTCTCCCAGTCTCCTCTCTGTGTCTCCCCCTGTCTCCCAGTCTCCCCTCTGTGTCTCCCCCTGTCTCCCAGTCTCCCCCTGTCTCCCAGTCTCCCCTCTCTGTCTCTCTGTGTCTCCCCCCTGTCTCCCAGTCTCCCCTCTCTGTGTCTCCCCCTGTCTCCCAGTCTCCTCCCTCGGTGTCTCCCCCTGTCTCCCAGTCTCCCCCTGTCTCCCCTCTCTGTCTCTCTGTGTCTCCCCCCTGTCTCCCAGTCTCCCCTCTCTGTGTCTCCCCCTGTCTCCCAGTCTCCCCTCTGTGTCTCCCCCTATCTCCCAGTCTCCTCTCTGTGTCTCCCCCTGTCTCCCAGTCTCCCCTCTGTGTCTCCCCCTGTCTCCCAGTCTCCCCTCTCTGTCTCTCTGTGTCTCCCCCCTGTCTCCCAGTCTCCCCTCTCCGTCTCCCCCTGTCTCCCAGTCTCCCCCCTCTGTGTCTCCCCCTGTCTCCCAGTCTCCCCCCTCTGAGTCTCCCCCTGTCTCCCAGTCTCCCCTCTGTGTCTCCCCCTGTCTCCCAGTCTCCCCTCTCTGTGTCTCCCCTTGTCTCCCAGTCTCCCCTCTGTGTCTCCCCCTGTCTCCCAGTCTCCCCCTGTCTCCCAGTCTCCCCTCTCTGTGTCTCCTCCTGTCTCCCAGTCTCCTCCCTCGGTGTCTCCCCCTGTCTCCCAGTCTCCCCCTGTCTCCCAGTCTCCCCTCTCTGTCTCTCTGTGTCTCATCCCCTGTCTCCCAGTCTCCCCTCTCTGTGTCTCCCCCTGTCTCCCAGTCTCCCCTCTGTGTCTCCCCCTATCTCCCAGTCTCCTCTCTGTGTCTCCCCCTGTCTCCCAGTCTCCCCCCTCTGAGTCTCCCCCTGTCTCCCAGTCTCCCCTCTCTGTCTCTCTGTGTCTCCCCCCTGTCTCCAAGTCTCCCCTCTCTGTCTCCCCCTGTCTCCCAGTCTCCCCCCTCTGTGTCTCCCCCTGTCTCCCAGTCTCCCCCCTCTGAGTCTCCCCCTGTCTCCCAGTCTCCCCTCTGTGTCTCTCCCTGTCTCCCAGTCTCCCCTCTCTGTGTCTCCCCCTGTCTCCCAGTCTCATCTCTGTGTCTCCCCTTGTCTCCCAGTCTCCCCTCTGTGTCTCCCCCTGTCTCCCAGTCTCCCCCTGTCTCCCAGTCTCCCCTCTCTGTCTCTCTGTCTCCCCCCTGTCTCCCAGTCTCCCCTCTCTGTGTCTCCTCCTGTCTCCCAGTCTCCTCCCTCGGTGTCTCCCCCTGTCTCCCAGTCTTCCCCTGTCTCCCAGTCTCCCCTCTCTGTCTCTCTGTGTCTCCCCCCTGTCTCCCAGTCTCCCCTCTCTGTGTCTCCCCCTGTCTCCCAGTCTCCCCTCTGTGTCTCCCCCTATCTCCCAGTCTCCTCTCTGTGTCTCCCCCTGTCTCCCAGTCTCCCCCTGTCTCCCAGTCTCCCCTCTCTGTCTCTCTGTGTCTCCCCCTGTCTCCCAGTCTCCCCTCTCTGTGTCTCCCCCTGTCTCCCAGTCTCCCCTCTCTGTGTCTCCCCCTGTCTCCCAGTCTCCCCTCTCTGTGTCTCCCCCTATCTCCCAGTCTCCCCTCTGTGTCTCCCCCTATCTCCCAGTCTCCTCTCTGTGTCTCCCCCTGTCTCCCAGTCTCCCCCTGTCTCCCAGTCTCCCCTCTCTGTCTCTCCCAGTCTCCCCTCTCTGTGTCTCCCCCTGTCTCCCAGTCTCCCCTCTCTGTGTCTCCCCCTGTCTCCCAGTCTCCCCTCTCTGTGTCTCCCCCTATCTCCCAGTCTCCTCTCTGTGTCTCCCCCTGTCTCCCAGTCTCCCCCCTCTGAGTCTCCCCCCGAGTCGCCCCGCCCCTTCTTCCTGTGGCGTCAAGTCCGCCGCGCGATGAGCGCCACATCCGGCCGCGGGTACGTTCTGACGCCACGTCCCGTCGTGAACATCCGGCGGTGGTGGCGTCACTTCCGCCGTGCGGGTGACGTCGTCAGAGCGCGGCGAGGCATTACCGAGGTGCCATCATGGCGATGCAAGCAGCGAAACGCGCGAATGTGAGCAGAGAGACGGCACGGGGGCTGCTGTGCGGTGGTGGTGGGGGAGAGATACACGGGGAGAGGGGGGAGATACACGGGGAGAGGGGGGAGATACACGGGGAGAGATACACGGGGGGATATACGCGGGGAGAGGGGGAGATACACGGGGAGAGATACACGGGGGACGGAGGGAGGGGGGAGATACACGCGGAGAGGGGGAGATACATGGGGGAGAGAGGCAGGGGAGTTACACGGGGAGAGAGGGGGAGCTACACGGGGGAGAGAGGGGAGAGATACACGGGGAGAGATACACGGGGAGAGGGGGAGAGATACATGGGGAGAGAGAGGGAGGGGAGTTACACGGGGGGAGAGAGAGGGGGGAGCTACACACGGAGGGAGAGAGGGGGAGCTACACGGGGGAGAGAGGGGAGAGATACACGGGGAGAGATACACGGGGAGAGGAGGAGAGATACACGGGGAGAGAGAGGGAGGGGAGTTACACGGGGAGAGATACACGGGGGGAGAGAGAGGGGGGAGCTACACACGGAGGGAGAGAGGGGGAGCTACACGGGGGAGAGAGGGGAGAGATACACGGGGAGAGATACACAGGGAGAGAGAGGGGGAGATACACGGGGAGAGAGAGAGGGGGGTTACACGGGGAAAGAGGCGGGTAGATCAACATGGAGAGAGAGGGGGGCAGATAACACGGGGAGAGGCGGGGAGGGAGAGCGTGGGAGATACATGGGGAGAGAGAGGCGGGGAAATACACGGCGAGAGAGGCCGGGAGAGAGAGAGACGGGGGAGAGGCGGGGGAGATACATGGGGAGAGAGAGGCGGGGAAATACACGGCCAGAGAGGCCGGGAGAGAGAGAGACGGGGGAGATAGACAGAGACGGGGGAGAGGCGGGGGAGGTACATGGGGAGAGAGAGGCGGGGAAATTCACGGCGAGAGAGGCCGGGAGAGAGACGGAGACGGGGAGATACACGGAAAGAGAGAGGCCGGGAGAGAGGCGGGGGAGATACCATGGGGAGAGAGAGGCCTTCATATTACTCCGGGGAGACAGACGCGGGGAGATACAGGGGGTGGGGGGAGATGCGGGGAAATAGAGAAACAAGTGGATGGAGAGACGGAGAGAGAGAGATCGTGCCGTGTTTTTTAAGAGGAGTGTTGAGACTGGGTCGAGAGTGTAATCCTGGGTTGGACGAGGGCGATAAATACAACCGAGAATAGTTGGGACGCAAGCAGCACGCGCGCGGTGTCTGTGTCTTGTGTGCGTGTCCAGGTGCGCCTGCCCCCAGAGGTGAATCGCATTCTCTACGTGCGGAACCTGCCCTACAAGATCACTGCCGAGGAGATGTACGACATCTTCGGCAAGTACGGCGCCATCCGACAGATCCGAGTGTAAGTGATGATGTTTGTAAAGGGGCTGTTTACTCGGTAGCTAACCAATGGGTACCGATTCTTACGCCTAATTTTAAACTGTTCATCATGCGCAGTTAAAATGGAATTCGCATCAGGCCCCATGGTGTTACACTAAGTGCATTCTATATTAGACTGGGGCAAACATCGGACATTGTGCTGAATAACAAGCGCGAGAGATGCACAGCACCACAACTGCAGAACAAACGGCAGGTCACTAAACTTGCGGAGTGGAAGTGCAACATCCGACAGGTCCTGCAATCATTGCGTGGGGCAGAGTTGTGGAATTTCATTTCTCCGAATTATATCAAAATACCTTGCGCATTAAAAATTTGAGTGACAGGGTGTCTAGCCGTTGTGGCTGAGATATGGTACGGTGTTAGGAGCATGTATTGACAGTCGGGTGTGATGCTTGTTTTTTTATTGTTGTAACGTTCTTACGCGCCCCAACTGAAAGAGCTTCATAGCTCATCAGATTCCTCCAGTTTAAATAAATATTCTGATTCTATTGGTGGACGCTGCCCTGGGCCGAGGTCGGCGGTTCGACCTCTTGGAACATCTTGAAATCTCCACCCCCACCACCTCTGTTCACCCAGCAGTGTAAATGTGTGCACCGCAGTCGACCAGCAGGTCGCGTTTGGTGGGGTAGAAGAGTAGGCCAATATACACTGTAGAGGGGCCTCTCGAGCTCCCTCTGGTTGGAGGGCCCTTCCCCCAGCAGCGGTGTTTTGCGAGCAATTGCAAGGCTGCGCCTGTACGCGAAAGTGCGTTGAGGTAACACGCCGTGCGAACGTCCTCTCCGCGGCGCAGAGGCACGACGCCCGAGTCGCGTGGCACGGCGTACGTGGTGTACGAGGACATCTTCGACGCCAAAAACGCGTGTGACCACCTCTCTGGGTTCAACGTGTGCAACCGCTACCTCGTGGTGCTGTACTACAACCCCAACCGGGTATGGCGCACACACACACACACAAGACAAAGATCCCCCCGTATAGCCTGAATGGGGTGTTGGGGCAAGTGCTTTTAGCGAGTAGCACCTATGAAGGAAGGCACGGTACACGAGGAGGTGCGTGGCCAGTACCGTGCCCAGCCGTCTTTGTTTTCCGAGTGTATGTATGTTGTACTTCTTTCGCACCGTACGTAGCCAACCGTGCTAATTGGAGGTGCGGGGGAAGGACAACAAACTTAACACACAAAAAGCAGTTCAAACTAATGGCGATGTTTACACATTGCATCAGGTACTCATTTGATACTCATTTGAGGCTGAGTCGACCTAAGGAAGGCCCAGAACAGGTTCAGATAAACGTCACACGAACCCGCACGCGTGCGCACGTGACGGGGGCGTGACGGACAGTCATCGCATCTCCATGGTCTCCCGCGAGATGGCAGCTGCATCACGTGATCAGATCTGGCGGTGCGGCTTGCACAGTAAGGTTATCTGCCCAGAGTTTCAATCCTGGTTGGGACTTGACTCGGCCCATCATCTCTCCAGGGTCGATAGAACTAACTACTACCATTTTAAATTTTATTTAAAGCTTTCGTGACTGCAGTAATTCATATTCTTAGTTCTTTCGGTAAAGTAATGTGACTTTACCGAAAGAACTAAGAATATGTACTACCACTTTGTTTGAGTTCAACAGTCGTCCTATGGATATACTCCCCCCTGTCATAGGAATATGGAATTTTCACCACTGACTGCAGGGCTTTAAACAGGAGATGAGCACCAATCCCTCAATGTGGCTCATTTGCGCAGGAAGCCATTTTTGACTTTTAGGTCTCTTGAGGATAACCAAGTCTCCGTTTGTGGTCACGTGTGAGTGCGCCCTGCACTGTTTGATGGTTTTAAATTAGTGGCCTTGCCGTGACTGCGGAGTGCAGGCCTTCCAGAAGCTGGACACGAAGAAGAAGGAGGAGCAGCTCAAGAATTTGAAAGACAAGTACGGCATCAGCACTGACAAGAAGTGAGGCGCCAGCCTGCAGGAAGAAGGGATGGGGGGGGCGTTCTCCGTGACCATTCCACCAACATACGAGATTGTGTGTGAAGTTTCACGAGTGACGGCCGCTTTTGTGTATAGAGCCTCAGTAATTGCTTTAAATGTTACTGTAAAATGTGTCTTGTTTTTTTAATTTGTTTTGCTAAAGATCTGATTTTCACGTAGTCTTTTTATAAGGAGAAGCTGACGGTCCCCGATGCTCGGCAGGACGCAAGTGAAAAGTGTTTTTTTAAGCAGTTCTGTACGAATGATAACTATAGAGTTGACCTAGATGTCGTCTGACAGATAAAACATTGACAGCTCTTGCGTGTGCTCTCGTTCAACTCTTGTCAGCTCTAATTTGTTCCTCCGAAGCAGCAGTGTCCACCAGGAGATGTCAACTCTTGTCGGTGTCCACCTCGGATGTAGGGGTTTCTGGGTGTGGGCAGGACGTTGACTGGTTGCTCGCGTAAGCGTGTGTAAACGTGTCGAGCGACGGTCCTTTTTGAATGAAAACTCCCCGAGTTAACGCGTGGTGTTTCTGAAGACTCAACGTGGCTGGCGAAGGCGCACAACTTAACGAGGTCAACCCGCTCGGTGCCGTCGATGGCTCCATCCAGGTGGCACGGCAGTCGCGCAGTTGAGAGCTGGGCCTGGGGTACGGACTTCTGGCGCAACTCTTAGGGTGCAAAGTCTAGTCGTAAGTTTAAGACAATGAAGCGCCATATAGTTAGGAGAGAACTGGGGGCTGGTTAGAACCACTCCTAATTTACATAAATTAATTTTATAAATCACTAAAACATAACTCCCCGCAAATATTGTATTAATAAAGAATATAGTCAACGTTAATAACAGTATCCGCTCGGCCACGGACCACCTGAAGCACAGCACGGTGGCCATTTTGCTTTGGGTTGTCTCCCTGGCAGCTGATTGGCTCGTGCAGTGGGAGTGGTGACATTCCCAGCAATGGGTCTTCCCCGAGTTCATGTTACCATCTCACTGACTCAAGGTTTGGAACCCCTAATTGTAGGGTGCTGTTAGCATGTCCACAGAGTTGCGATGTCACTAGAGAGCATTTAAACGTTGATCCGTTTTACGCATTTCTGGTTCTTTCTATGGTCGCTGCCTGCTGGTCTTGCGAGTGATTTTAAGGGTGTTTTCTGTCCTAAAAACTAAACTTATATGTTACCAGGTAAAATCTGCTGAGCTTTATAACTGTTTCAGAAGCGACCTGGTCACGAATGAAAGCTCAACTAAGTGGCTTATCGTGTGGAGGGGAAAACCGGAGGACCCAGAGAACAATCCATGGGGAGAACACGCAAACTATAAAGATACAGGCGTCATGGTCGGGTTAAACTTACGACCTTCTGTATACCAGTTAAGGTAGTTAACATCTTGCCACAGTACTCGTGCCCCTGACCTGGACACTCTGCACTCACTCCGTGCTCACCGGTGAAGTCTTTTAAAGTGCGATTGTGGACAGTGCGAGTGGCTCCCCCCTTTTGAACAGTGCTTAACCTGGCCAAGACGACATCGAGAGGTGAAGGCGCAGCCTTGTAACTGCTCGTTCATGTCACTGCTGGTGGAAGTGTTTCCACTAGAGGGTGCTCCATAGAGCCCCCTGTACCGGGTATTTGGCCTACTCTTCCACATTGGTGAGACGTCTCAGGAGAGCGCGGTGATGTAATCTAGCAGTATTTTTGTGGTTTGAGCAACGGGGATTTTGATTTTGGTCATCGTTAAGATCTGTACCTGTACCGCTCCTTCAATCAAGACTGGAAGGCAATATCAATTGTATAAATAAATTGTTTATTAAACATGATTTTGTGGACAAAGGCAGGTTGCAAATTTTGTCGACTGGTCGGCAGCTTTGGCATATTTGAACACTATGAAGTACCGTATGTAAACAGAGACCACAGTAAATGTGCACTGTGTGTTGCAAGGCACTGCGAGTGAAGTGAACTCGTGATCAGAGCCATTCTGTTGGCTTGGGACAGAGCGTGTGTTGGTGTATGAACAGACCGGTGCTGGCTTCATGGTCACACAACAAACACTCGTCCATAGGCAGGGCTGTGAGGGCACTGCGAACGACACGTTGGGTGATAGTGAGCTGGCTGGGTGAGAGTTGACTGGCTGGATGAGAGTGAGCTGGCTGGTGAGAGCTGACTGGCTGGATGAGAGTGAGCTGGCTGGTGAGAGCTGACTGGCTGGATGAGAGCTGGTTGGTGAGAGTGAGCTGGCTGGGTGAGAGTGAGCTGGCTGGGTGAGAGTGAGCTGGCTGGATGAGAGTGAGCTGGCTGAGCTGGCTTGCTGTCGGGGTGAGAGTGAGCTGGCTAGTTGAGAGCTGGCTGGCTGGTGAGAGTTGACTGGGTGAGAGTGAGCTGGCTGGATGAGAGTGAGCTGGCTGGCTGGTGAGAGCTGACTGGCTGGATGAGAGTAAGCTGGCTGGTGAGAGCTGAGCTGGCTGGGTGAGATTGATCTGGCTGGTTGAGAGAGCTGGCTGCCTGGGTGAAAGCTGGCTGGCTGGGTGAGATTGATCTGGCTAGGTGAGGGCCGCTCCGGTGGTCATCTGGCCACGAGGGCCGCGCTGTGCGAGCGAGGTGGATCTTGAGTTGTGTTTGATAGCCCCCCCGTACGCCGGAGCGTATACAAGCGCTTGACATCCCACACCTCATCTTGACACCTTTGGAAGGGGCACTGCCGGTGGAAGCTGTCCTTGTGTGGCACCAAGTGACTCGGCACCTCGCCTGTGAGCGGACATCCACTGGTAGGGGGCGCTGATTGCTGCTGTGTGTACAGTACTGTACTTATTCACCCAGGATACCCACACTGAGTCCAAGTCATTTTCAGCAGGGTCCTGCCACGTTGGGATGTTTTGGAAATGCCAGTTAAATTATGTGGTTTATTTAGCAGTGGTATGAAACCGGAGAACCCGGAGTAGGCCCACGCAGAACAAGGAAAGAACATGCACACTCGACTCGTTCACACTCATTCATACTGTACAATGAGCACACAAACTCCGCGCAGAAAGGTACCTGGGGTCAGGAATAGAACCCAGGTCCCTTCGTGCCGAACAACACGCCACGTCGCGAAAATACAACAGGGAGCTGCAGAGGACAGCCGCAAAAAAAACACGTGCGCCGTGGTGTAACAGTCGGGCCTGGGTTAGGCTGTTGCTGGTGGTGCAGGGTACCGTTCAAGGTTAATATCGGTGCATTTTTAAATACAAATATAGTTTCAGTGCCGTGCGTTTATCCAGGGTGAATGCTGCGTTTGCGTGTACCGAGAGGCACCAAATGGCCTTGGCACGGTTATTATTCGGGGGGAAAAGATACGCCCGCTGGTAGAAGAATGGGAATTCCAAAGTGGAGCAGCCCGAGGAAAGAAGCGGAAAAGAAGTGATGTGACCTGGAGCGTGGCGACTGGGCGTGCGAGTTGTTGAATTAATGAATGCACACGTTGTGACCTGCAGTGTTGTGGTCGAACACGGGTGTGGATGACATGAAACATTCCGGCCAACACGGGTGGAGGAATTGAGTCAAGTTTACGAGAACGGCAACCACGGTAGTAGCGATGAAAGAGTGACGTGTGAGACAACGGATTGGCGAGTGCAGTGACAGTGAATCGGCGAGTCCTGGATCGTCGGTCGACCCCCACCGGGGCTAAAGTCAGGCGTCACTCCAGCTGCAGGAGCTCCACGTCGAAGATGAGCGTGGTGTTGGGCGGGATGACCCCGGGGTGTCCCGTCTCGCCGTACGCCATGTCCGGAGTGCAGGTGATGCGCGCCCGCATCCCCAGGCTCATCTGCGTCGCAGGGGTGGTGGTGATGGGGGTGTGTGACCGCAATCCATACGAGCGACTCTTGTCTGAACCGACGCTTCTTACAAAACGAGCGCAGAAACATCCTGAGCTCGACCCGACGCTGCCGCGGTGAAACGGCCGGCACGCTGGACGTGCGCACGATCCGTCGGTCGCTGCTTCGATTCGACGGGCACATTTCGTAGATGCCCCCCCCCTCCTCACCGCCTCTGCCCACCCGGCAGCGGTGTGAATGAATGGGTTCGCGTGTGCGGCGGTGTAACTTGTGGAGTGTCGTTAACAACCACCGCTTCCAAAATCAGGGTCGAACGAAAATGACAAATGATCCTCCAGGACGGGGTGTTCTTGAGCCCCATCTTGCGGACGCAATTCCGGGAGCAGTAGCAGTACGTGAGCCAGCGACTGCAAGGACTACACATTTACGATGTGCCGGGCTACTTGAGCCGTGCACTATGCCAGGCACCTAGAATACTCCGCCTATTGAAGGCCAGAGTGGAATCGGGCGTGGGGCAGTGCCGGATTAAGCGCGTGCAAGGACTGTAGCATATGTTATAAAGGGGCCCTCAATTAAAAAAAAGCTAATATTAAAACAGAACTTTTTAACTTGCATAGTAAAATAATTGTGTTTTTTTATTTGCTACACAGCCAGATAATACGACAAATCGCTAACCTTAAACACCCAGTCGTTCATAAAAGTTGAAAGCAGTATATAATACTATAGTAATGGAGCAAGTGCAAAATCACTGAACCGAAATTGATAGCTTGAAAGCATTTAGCGCGAGGCCCGTGGCACATGCTGCTTTTGCTACAAGGATAATCCGGCACTGGCGTGGAGTGATGGATGGATCTCTGTGTTGGGGAATTCGAAACTGAATGCAAGTCTCTGCTGCCCTTGCCTGCGGCTCATAAAAACGTCTGCAGGATTCACAACGCTAATTTTGGATGGTGTCGATTTTGCGCAGCAAAGGGGCACAACATCACGTTTCACGCTGCCGCAGCTGCCAGATCAAGGACATCGCTCCCGTCAGCTTCAGATGGTGGGCGAGGCTACGGCGCGAATTGAATTGGCCTCTCGTGACTGTCAGGCGACATTTGAACCCAATTGACAAGTTCATGCCGGTTGTTGTGGCTCCGTTAAGTCGAGGCAGAGACCTGAACCTGGCTTCAATAGTCACGTGCAACAAACCAAACTGGATTTGTTGCGCTCTCTTTTGAATATATTCGTGAACGGCAACAGCTGTGGTTGCCATCTGTCGGTCTTGGAGACTGCACAGTGTCGATAGACCTCGTGCTGCCGGAGAACTGCGTCCGGCGTTTGGTCTGCAGTGGAAACGGTGGCGACCCAAAGCCGTTGCCACAAAGAGGCGGTAAACTGAGAGCTGGCAAGACGAGTCTGTATTGTTGATTCATCGACTCAGAATTTTCATCCACAACTCTGGTAAATTATCCTGGTCCTGGCGGCAACTCCCACGTCAAACCTCCCAACCCATCTGGAGATCGTGCCAGAGTCGGCGCTCCCTCCTTCCGCCAGCAATAGGCGGGAGCAAGCCATTGCAGGGCTGCACCTTTGCCCCTTTTATGTACCCTTAGGCCTGCCACCGTGCGGTCTGCGTACATTCGCACGTGCCGGTTGTTGCATCCCTTACCTTAATTCCACTGGAATCGATCACTGGTTCACGGGTGTGGGAACCGCTCATCAATTCTGAACACGGGATTCCAGTTTGCCGATGCACTGCTGAGTCAGTCGCCCCACACTTAAACGCGCGGAGGCGTTCCCGCGGGGTTGTGTGCGCGCTGTGGTGCCACGGAACGAGTCCATTAAATACAGAGGAAGAGTTACGCAGGCGTGAGCCTCGTCTAGCACAGTGGGAAGCAAAGCCAGACAATGACCAAAAGCGTCGATTCCATAGGTCGAGCATGGCGGGTTCGAGATGCTGAGGGGTTGAGCACGGGGGAACAAGCATGGGGTTGAGGAGGAATGGTTGGAGGCGTGTGTTTGAGCGTGCGGTCAAGCATAGAGTCCAGCATGCAATCGATTCGCCATTCTCTCGATTCCTGTTCCACGATTCCTTGCGTGGGCAAGCAGGCGAACACCCCGAGTAACCTTATTTGGACATGACACTTTGTACGGCATTATCGTAACGTGGGCCTCTGAGGGACGTACGAAGCAAGGATTGCGAAGGCAAACGGAGAAATGGCAGGATTTAACAACATATACAGCAGCAATCAAATATAGCTGATCATCTGAAAAAATACATGCGTTTCTGCACAGCTTAGTATACCTGCGATACTTGGACACCAAAAAACGACTGACAGGGAAATAAATACTGACATTTGAAATGTCCTGCTACAGGAGGATTACTGCATCTTAGTTGGACACAGAGAGTGACAAACGTAGAAGTAAGACAAAAGGCTGCACACAACAGAAGACTTCATGCAATTGATAATTAAAGGGATCTGCAGGGCTTGTTTGGGCCAGATATGCAGGATGTAGAACAACAGAGAAAATAATAGAAAAAAAATAATGATGGGAATAATGGAGGGAACTGGAAGAACAGGAAGACCCTGTCGATAATGGCTGGATGACATAAGTGATTGGTGCCAGAGAGGGTGTGCATGGCCTCAGCGTGTTGGCACAGGATAGAGGAACAACATTGCAGTGGACACTTCCACTGCAGTGGATTTCTGCCCATGGAGTTTGATTGAGGCCCCCGCATTCCAGTTACTCGTTGTATCGCTTTCCAGCTCGTGCCACTCACCTGGCCCACGCCCTCCTCCCAGCCCTTGATCACTTGCTGCTTGCCCAGCGTGAAGCGGAACGGCTTCTTGCGATCGCGCGACGAGTCAAACTTCTTCCCGTTGCGGAACGTTCCTACACGCGAACATTGCACACAGTGTATATGTATACATGTGATAGTGCGCTGTTTTTGAGTTGTATGCCTTTTGGAGTCATCTGGTCGAACACCAGTGGAGACTAGGCTCTAAGAAAAGCCGTCTCGGGTGTGGACCAATCAAATTCAAGGACAGTGCATATTATTATCAGAGTTGTGTCTTTTGTTTGCATTTTGACTGCTTGTGTTGTAGTTATTTCAAACATGATGCCTTGAATAAAGGTGTCAGTTTTTGTGCCAGTTAAAAGGGTAAAACCTATTACTATACTAATGTGTTTTTTTGTTTGTTTTTTATTCACTTTATTTTTTATTATTATTAATCTATCTACGTGACTTTACCGACAGAACCAAAGAACATACATATATCATGTTTGTAATTGTATTGCATGCAGTCGTGATCCCACACGCGCGCATAATAAGACGCCGTTATTCGTACATTCGACCACGCGAGACGGCGGCAGTCGTGGTGGCTACGCCGCACGTGGCCGCCCGTGGCTGCCCGTAATCCAGCACCGTGAATGCAGCAGCGAGGGTTGGTGGACCACCGCACAAATTGTTGACAAACTCCCTGCCTGTGATTTGGTTGCCTTCCCAACGCTCTCCCCCCCCCCCTTCCTGCGCTGTGGTGGCGAGATGTTAATTCTCTCGCCTGGTTTACGGGAAGCCGTGGGTTTGATCCCGACCCGGACACCCGCTGTATATTTGTTCCCCACGTGGTCGCGTGGATTTTTCTCCGGTTTCTCCAGTTTTTCCCTTGAAATTTAGAAACATGCCTTTAGAGTATTTGGCGGATAAAAATTTCCACGTGATAAATCACTTTATTGGGCTATCATTTGATTACTGTGACATCGTATATAAATCAGCCCCCGGTACTGTACTGAAGAAGCTTGACCCAATTTATCACTCGGCCTTAAGATTTGCATTGAACTGCCCATATAGGACCCACCACTGCGATATCTAGATTGGTTCATACTTAACATCTCTTAATGAAGGCTTGTGCATGAGGTCTTATTTATTCACGATGTACTTACAAAAAAATCAGCAGACTACTTGCTGGATCTCTTTATTGTTTCAAAGAACAAATGTGACTTAAGGTCTTCGCTCATTACCAGCTTCACATTCCTTATTGCCGTACAAATACTGGAGGAAGGTCCTTTGCTGTTGATGCCCCCAGAGTCTGGAATGCTATCGCCAATAAACTGCAACTTGGATCACTACCTGTGAGATCTGCATTCAAAACTGCTCTTGAGGAGCTGTACACCCCCCGTTGCCACTGCTATGCAGTGGCCTGAAATCAAATGCACCGCTCCGGATGTCCGCTGCAAAGTAGGATCTTGAGTTTCGATTATAGTGTGCTGATCCTTAAAGGTGCATTGAAAAATGTTGATACTCCTGCTGATACTCCTGCTGTTATGGAGTGACTCATGATGCCAGCTATGGCTACAAAGTTTGGTCATACATGTTATGTATATAGTTGATTGTTAAATTTTAACCACCGTTCCTTACTTCCTATGGCCACTGTTACATTGTTTTTATAGCTTTATTTTGGTGATATTCGAAAACGTATGGTTAAGCCATGTTTGTTTGTTGAAGTACGGAGTTAGCCTGATAACTTTATCTAAATTGTCTTATGGTTGTTATTGTTCGACTTGCATCCCATTGGTATTTTCGTACACAGCGTTGATATACGGTGCTTTTTCTGGAAGATTTTACTGGTTTTCCTGGATGTTTCTGTTGCGCGTCGTCACTGTAAGATGTTCTTTGTTCATGTTTTGTTTGTTGCGGTTGCACCCGAGTCAAGAGACTCATGGCTCACAGGGCAATACCTAATGAATGAAACTGAAACTTAAAACTGAAATTTGTGGCCAGGTCGCTTCTGAAAAACAGATACCATATAGCTCAGTGGGCCTTATATGGTAAAATAGTTCAGTTTATTTTTGTATCGCGATATCGACTACGATGACCTCAACAAATCTCACGTCTCCTGAAATCCACCGTGCACGATTCCCGTGACAAATTTAAGTAAAATGACCTCTTGGTCACACACTGCACGCGCTCTCTCGCTCGCTCACTCGCTCGCCACGTGGGATGGGCCTGCCGACATTTAAATAGCCACGCAGCGATCGTCGATGCCAAAGCAGCTGCTCGAGGCTGTCCCCAGGGGATATCGCGGCAGCGCCTATAATTGGCAGCGACCCGCGCTGTGAAACGGAGTGATGCGGCGTGGCCACTCGCCCGTGGTGGGTGGGGCGGGGGTGGACCGTGCGGGAGGTCCCCGCTGAGCCGTTCGGCTTCGTGGGCCCCGCGTCTCGCTGCCCGCGCTGTGCCGCCTGGGAGCGCTGCGCTGCGCGCAGCCGTGTTTGTGTGCAACCACGCGACGTGTTTCGCGTTACTCACGTTAGCCGGGGGGGGGGTGTCTGCAGCGTGCGCGGCCGCACGATCGCGAGGGATTGCGTGGGTTATGTGGGATTGCGTAGGGTTGCGTGGGATTGCGTGGGATTGCTTGGCGTTGCGAGGGGTTGCGTGGGATTGCGTGAGGTTGCGTGGGATTGCGTGGGGTTGCGTGAGGTTGCGTGGGATTGCGAGGGGTTGTGAGGGGTTGCGTGGGATTGCGTTGCTTCCTTGCGGATAGGCCACCCTGTCCTAGGATTGTCACCTGATCTCTCATAATGTACTACGTACCTTATGTTGAACTTCTTTTGCGCCGCACGTAGCCAACCATACTCGTTGGAGGTGCGGGTGAAGGACGACAAACTAAAGACAAAACGCAGTTTCTAAAGATGCAAGTTTCGAGTTATCAATTTATAATTGCTGTCCTCGAAACAACGATGCACGACTTGTTCGCGTCGTGTTGCATTCACTCGCGTTTGCCGTAACATCGCTGCCGTATTCTCCGGATTGTAAGATGCTGCGCCCCGTCTCAAGCTGCGCAGCGAGAGCCCTGGGGCCGATCGCGCCGGGAGTGTGGCGCCGTGGTTTTTACCTCGACATTCGTTCCCCCTTTTTTCATCGGAAACATTCTGCTCGGGAGTGTTTTTTGTTTGTTTTGGGGCCATATATTTGGCAAATAAGAATAGATTTCACCCTTTCTGGCAATGAAACAGGAGGTGGTAAGATGTGCAAACACTAAATATAAACATTTTGCAAGGAATCATGTCTGCATGAACCACACGAACTTGTGGTGAACATGCAAACAAACATACTCTGATAATATATGGCATTGTCTTTGAAACTGATTGGCCTACACCAGACAGCCTGCTTTAGGGCGTAGTCTCACTCGTATCAGATCAGAGAACTTTGATACTGGCAAAAAGGTTATATTTTTATTCGGCAAATGTTTTTACAAATTGTTTTGTTATTATTACTATCAAAATATCACCGCCAATAGTCGAAGGCCAACCCCCCCCCCCCCCCCCCAAGAAGTTACAGACACACCCTGGATTCGTGACTTCAAACTACGGGAGAACTGAATATCACTTGGAATTCAGATCACAATAAACATGGGAAGTCCAGTAACATAGCCAACCAATTTACAAAAAGGCAGCTAATTAATGTATATCTCTCTCATATCTGAATCTACGTCTGTATCTTCTCTCACCGCACTCGCCACGACTAATCGGTATTAGTTCATTATTAGTTCATTATTTATTTACCCAGAAAAGCCTCACTGAGGCGCCGCACGTTTTCAGGATGGTCCTGCCGAGTTGTCACGGTAGGGGAGGGCGATTGCTGCCACGCGGTCTTTACCGACGGAGTCGTCGGCAGTCATTTTAAACCCAGAATATGTTTGGACCGTGACGACCCGGCACACAGTGGCTTACTCTTCTTCGAATGACATCACTGGATCTTTCACGTCCAATGCGGCGAAATGTTAACTACCTCGCCTGGTCTGCAGGTGGTCGGAGTTTTCGATCTCAACCCTTACGCCTGTATATTTGGAGTTTGCGTATTCTCCCCGTGGTCGCGTGGATTTTTTCTCCGGGTCCTCCGGTTTTTACCTCCAAATTTAGAAACGTGCATTGAGATTGTTTAGCTTATTTGGCTGCTATAAATATCCACATGATAAGCCACTTTTTTGAGCAATTATTTGTGGCTAGGGCGCTTCTGAAAAACATGTTAATATCTGGTAGGATGGGGATGGTTTAGTGTTGTATTTGTGTTTGGGTCATTTGTTTACCTTTCATATACTTTGCACTACTGTCATGTTTTTGTAACTGTTTGTTGTTGTAACGTTCTTACCCCCTGCTCCGACTGGACATCTGTGAAAAAGAGATACCTCCATTCTCAATAAATATTCTGATTCTGAGTGAAGGCAGATGGCGTATTTGCAGCTAACCCGCACACGGCATTAATCAGGACCACCTTCCATAATAGAGGTTTTTGGGTTAGATCGCGTAAATATAAATGTGCCGTTAAACCCGCCACCACTCAACACAACCAATTAGTAAGGTTTGTCACGTAAACAGAACGTGCAAATTCAATACTAGTACAATACACCGGTGTGTTGGAGAGTAAACACACATCATTTACAATTCGAGTACGACATTTCGCCAGTAGTTACAACCGGCATCATCAGGCGACAGCCAGAGTTGTGGAGGAATCCTCCCGTTTCGGTCTTAAATAGGGAGATAAATGTGATGTAAGGAATTGGCACGTTTTGTTTACGCGACAAACCTCACTAATTGGCGGTTTCGGGTGGTGGCGGGGTTAACGACACATTTATATTTACGCGATCTAATCCCCCCCAAAAAAACCTGTATTATGGATGATATTGGTCGCGAAAGCCTCCTACTAGGTGTTCAACTCAGGGCCACCTTATCGGTGTCGAACCACGCGCCTCAAGCGGCCGAACGCGTGCACGAACCGAACGTTGCGTTAAAGTCGTCCATTGTGATGTCATCGAAGCAGCAGCATTATCATGATCAGCCTCTGTTGGGAGTCGTGACCGAGCGTTGATTCCCGCGCTGCGCGTCCGCACTCACCCGTGTAGTGCACCACGCACTGCTGCCCTTTCTTGGGGAAGGTGCAACCTGCGGAGGGGGTGAGAAATCAAGTTCCTTGGTGATGTGGCCATCCCGCGCGTCGAGTCTCAATCCGTCGGCCTCCCCGCTGGGATCCATCGTCCCCAGCAGGGGTCGGCAACCTGCAGCATGTGGCTCTTTAAGGACTGCTTCGTGACGCGTATTTATTTAAGGACCACCACCGTCTCTCGTATTCACCACTTGCACCACGGATCTTGAAATATTGGGGGGGGGGGGGGGTTACCGAATTTGAAAACAAATATTCTTGTTTTGGCTGCCGATCGCTGGTCCTCAAGAGTCCAGGTGACCCAGAACGCCTATGCCAGACTCGCCACCCCGCGTGCCTAAGTGTTTGTTGTTGTAACGTTCTTATCCGCTCCTACTGGACATCTGTGAGAAGGAGCTTTATAGCTCATCGGATTCCTCCTCCAGTGTAAATATTCGGATTCTGGAGTGGAGTCGCCCAGCGCTCCGGGACCCATGCACTGGATCCCAATTCAACCCCGGATTAAGTTCAAGACCTCACCGTCTGCAAGATCCTCCAAGAGCTCACTCCTGCCTGTCTATAAATTCCACCGTATTTTCCACGTAAGAAGACGATTTTTTTGCCTCTGCATTTTTTAACAAAAGTTAGGGGGTGCGTCTTATAATGCGATACGAGCGTGTTGTGTGTTCGTGCCGTTATGTTGTATGTGTGTGTGTTAGTGTGTGCGGGGAGCGGTGGTACAGTGGTTGGTGCACTGCGCTACCAACCTGGCAACCCGAGTTCGATTCCCACTATAACACCAACACCAGGTGACGATTATCTAAACCGGTCCTGGACCTCTCCTAGGTCGATTATGCCTTAAACGAGTCCTTGGTGCGGGTGTGTAAACATCGCCACTGGGGAAACAAAGGCGACCGAGCGTGGTGCTGGCCACCCACCCCCTCGCGTGCCATTCCAGCCTTCATAAGTGCTTGCCCCAACAGTCTGCTAAAGGCTATACGGCAGATATTTGTCTTTGTGATGGTGGGGCGTGTGATGGTGCGTGATGGTGCGTGATGGTGCGTGATGGTGCGTGATGGTGCGTGATGGTGCGTGATGGTGCGTGATGGTGCGTGATGGTGCGTAATGGTGCGTAATGGTGCGTGATGGCGTGTGATGGTGTAACCATGAGTGTGTGATGATGTTAGATGGCGTAATCGTGAGTTTGTGATGGTGTGCGATCGTGTGCGATGGTGCAATAATTAGTGAATAGTTTCCATGCAATGACGTCAGGTCTCGGTACACAATCAATCCCTGCTGCTGCTGCTGGTGGTGGTACCACCCGAACGCAGGTCAGGATCATGCCAATATCAGAACTGTCCAGATCAAACTTAGAATTACCAAAGTTCCTGGTTAAACCCGGACAGGTGTTTGGGATCGTCGTGATTTCCGCCCCTTGATTCACCACGCGAGGTTATTTGCGAAACTCATTTTACGTATCGCATCTCGGTTTGTGAGACGTTGCTTTCCATACGCAAACTCGCCGATACGAGTC